TCATCTCCTGCACAAGATAGCTCCAAACAACTGGATGCATACTTGTCTTGTGTAGCAGATCACATGGACTTGCTGAAATCCTTCCCAGCTGTCTGCAAGTTGTCTGTGAAGCTGAACACACCTCTGCCTGCCTCAGCAGCGTGTAAAAGGCTGTTTAGCTGTGCAGGTCTTGTCTTCAGCCCAAGAAGAGCGAGGTTGGATTCTCGTAATTTTGAAAACCAACTTCTTTTGAAGTTAAACAGTAAATTTTTCAGCTTCAAGTAAAGACTGTGTTAATGTGGGGGAGGACGTGAAGAATGAAGGACTAAAAGGAAGGGCTGGCTGGGTTTAGGAAAAGAGGAAGGGATTGACAAATGGACAGTGATGGAACAAAAGGGAAGGAAATACTTTCTTTTGAATTTGCTGAATGGGAAATGAGTGTGTGACCGCTAAATGTCAGTCATAGGTCTTCATTAGAAAGGTGCATGTTATGGGAACAGTGTTACACAACAGTTCAGTACAGAACAATTTAGTTTTCAAGGCCGATGATTTTTTTTTTGTACAGTAGGCTTTTGGTTTTTCTTGTCATGGTGAATTTAAGTTAAGAATTTTAAGAAAAGAAGGCACAGCAGAATAAAGTGTGTAATTTTACAAATTCTGACTACTTTGCTATTTTATTAACAACATTTCAATACTTAAGTATTAACATTTTCAGAAAGCTACTTTTGATACTTAAGTATGGTTAATATCAGATACTTTACTCAAGTAGAATTTTAATGGGTGACTAACTTTTACTTGTCATTTTCTAACAAAAAATCTGTACTTCTACTTAAGTGTGGCGTTCGAGTACTTTATACAACACTGGTCCAAACCCTGCAAGAATTTTGATTTTATTTATTCTAGTTCGACATTAGGTATTTCTTAATCACCACAGCCTCTGATCTGTATTCAGCCAGCACTGTTGCACTTTGCAGTGCTACTCCTAATGTTCATGAACCTCCGCACAGTCCACACAATGCCATGGTCATGATAAGAATGGGACCACTTACTGTATATGGTGAGCAGCGGTTTCATTTCTATTGTACCCTGCATTGTTGGAGAGTAATGCCTTTCATCAGTGCACTTGAAAATGCTACATTTCCATTAGTCACACTACAAAAATGAACAGGATGAAGGTTTACAGCGACCAATAAGTCTTTTTGCCTTCATGCTGTATGGCATGTGAATTTTGTGTTATGATAGACCTGAATAAATTCAAAACTGTCTTTTAATCTTGTCAAATATAAAATGCCTAAAACCGAACTCCTGACGCTGCTGCATGTCGTCTGTCTCCCAGGTGAATTATCTTAAAGTCAAAGGAGCTTCCTCCTCTCTTTACTCCCAGCTCCCTGACACCACAGAGATCCAGTTTGCCAGGGAGATGACTGAGATGCAGAGCGAGGTAGGACCCATTTTGCACAGTGAAATCTCTTAAGTGGTGATGAAGCCACAGTTTGGTTTGTGTTTAAAGGTCATCCCATCATATTTACTTGTTTAACTTGGTCAGAAACAGGACAGTTAAAACATTAACACCAATTAACATTTAAGTTGGAATTACATACAGGGAAAAAACTGTAGTAAACAACTGTGTCTCCACTTCCTGCTAACATTAACTGTAACCTGCTGAAAGATGCCTTTGTCCTCTCTCAGAATAAGTACAAGGAGGGTGGCAGGAAGAGCCTCTCCCAGAGTTTCTACTCCCAACTCCCAGAGACCGCCGAGACTCAGTTTGCTAAAACTGTGGCTGAGCTGCAGAGTGAGGTGACACAGTAATTAATACAGATATAATCAGTGCCTAAAGAAAACCTCAGTGGTTAGATGTGCATTGTAACAAACAGATTTTTTTTGATATATTGCTTTTTTAATATTCACCAGAGGCTTTGGACATCTGTTCTGACCCATCTTTTGTCTTAAGATGTTTAAAATCTACAGTATGTCAATGTGCTTTTGTTTCTAGACGCAATACAAACAAGCCAGTAAGAAGGGCGTGAGCTCGTGTTTGTTCTCTCTTCTCCCGGAGACTTTAGAGACGGCTCACGTCAAGGAAGTGTCTGAGCTGGTCAGCGAGGTACAGTGACTTCAATAACAATGACAAGAATGCCTAGAATTAAATACGTTCAGAAATGAGTTCACTTGGCTCTTGTTGTACCGCTCTGGGTCAGACAGGAAGTGAGTTAATATGTGGTCACTAGAGGTTAAAGGTACAACCACCATGACAAGCTGTAGGCAGAGTTGACTGACAGACAAGCCTTTATTGTTACTTTCTTTGACTTGCTCTTTCAGGAAAGTCATGGCGAGAAGATTTGAATTCATTTAAAATATTCTTAATTGTTTTATTAGTATAAAACTGCCATTTAGCCTCAGCATGATGCAAATTTTGTTTCTCTTGTCCTCACTGTGCTCTTGTGTTATTGCAGGTGAAGTATAAAGAGGACGGTAAGAAGGAGATGAGCATCAACCTGTACTCTCTGCTGCCTGAGACCATCGACACCCAGCATGCTAAAGAGGTGTCACAGCTGCAGAGTGAGGTGTCCAACCATGTTACACTCCTGTTTTAACATAACAGTTCATATGTTAATAGGCAGAAATTTTGTTTTAGTTACTGTCTTGCACCACCAGGTTAGGAAAGATTTCCCATTTGGTAAAGAAGCTGTAGAAGAGCTTAGTCATGGACAGTTTTGTTGGTGTTGAACCAGTAGTTGGGTTTGTTCTCTTTTTGTACATCGACATTAATGTTCAGTGCACTGATCTGTTCCTGTCTTGTCCAGGTGAAGTATAAAGAAGGTGTGAAGCAAAAGAATCACAGCAGTTTGTATCATCAGCTCCCAGAGACCATGGAGACACAGCTGGCCAAACGGCTGTCTGAGCTGCAGAGCCAGGTAGATTTTCACATTCATCTGATTTAAACTCATGTTTAACAAAAAGTTTAAACTTCAAAATAATCTCTTACATGGCTTTATGTATCTATTATTATTTTTGTTTTGCCTTGCTTTGTTGCATCTTCTTTTGTTGTGAAGCGCTTTGTAACTGTTTTGAAAAGTGCCATATAAATAATAATAACAAGAATTATTATTATTATTAGTAGTAGTAGTATGGACAATGAGTTTCCCCTTAAACACACCTGATTATTATCAGTTTAAGCATTTATAGTATTATTGGTTCAGAGTTTCTAAGTATTACTTAAATTTAACCTTGCATGAAAGATGAGATGTGTGGAGTCATATTTGTCTGAACAGTGAAAAGTAGTGTGACTTTTCAAAGCAAAAAGGATCTCATTTGGTGATGTCTGCAGGCAAAGTATCAGGAGGCTGGAAAGAAGGAAGTGAGTACCTGCCTGTACTCGGTTCTGCCTGAGACTCTGGAGACTCAACACGCTAAAGAGGCCACAGACCTACTCAGTGAGGTGCACAGCAGCTCTAGTTCTGCTACTGAGTCTAAACTTTGATCTTCTTGCTGGATTAACCAAAAATGTCTTGATGAAGATTTTGTGTGTTTCAAATTTCACCAGATTAAGTACAAGGAGAGCGGGAAGAAGGAGACGTCCAGCTCTCACTACGCCACACTGCCTGACACTTCAGAAACCCGCTTTGCCAGAGAGATGGCGGACATGCTGAGTGAGGTACGAGCGTTTGTTAAAACAAGACATCACGTGACTCAGGTTGTCCAGGTCAACACGTGACATTGGTGTTGGTGTCATCAACAGACAAGGCTCATGTCTCACTGAACAAGGTGTTTTAAAATATCAGCTCGTCTCTTGTGATACTTCTGTCATTAATTGGTCATCATAAGTGTGATTATTATCAAAAAAGGATCCAAGTAATTCTCTGTTTTTCAGTCTTTGATTTGCATGTTAACGGCACAGATACAGTCCCTAATAATGAGGTTTGGCTCACTGTCACTGTTGATCTGTGTGGACACAAAGACATGTTCCTCAAACACAGCCGATAAACAGAAAATATTAAAAACACACAAAGAGGAGAAATAAACATGCTGCTTTGTCAGATTGTACTGAGAAACTGAAAACAACATACAGTAGTATTTGTTAGATTGTTTGAAGAATAAATATCATGTTAGACTAGCAGAGAAATTCCTCTAAGGTACTTATCATTAAACTGAACTGCAGTTCCTCATGTTTTTGGCTTTCTGTCCTTTACCAGACTAAGTACAAAGAGAACGGACTGAGGAGCCTCTCTCAGAGTATCTACCACCAGCTACCAGAGACCACCGATACGCAGTTTGCTAAAGCCATCTCTGAGCTACAGAGCGAGGTGAGGGATGATTATTTCTTCTGGGGCGTCCTGTGAGAACAGACTCCACTGGAATAACCATTCACATAATTCATAGGTCCTAGGTCCCAGTTTGTACAATAAAACTGTGTCAAATTCTAAATCAGGAGAATGAGCTTTGTCTCAGGATGTGCCCCCCACATAACCACTGGTGGAAGGCAGCTAAACACAGTCAGAGTACTGCAGTCAAGTACTAATTAGCTACTTTTACTGTACTGAAATATTTCCATTGTGTACAACATCAGGCTTATTACTCCACTACATCTGTCTGACAGCTGTTGTTGCTTTTCAGATTACAAATGTTTATAGCCCAACTGTCCAGTGAAGCCCACATAGCTCCAGATCTGGTGATTTTGTATTAGAGCTTCTTTGATGAACTGAAGGATGATTATGTTTGTTGATGGACAGAAAATTCTTCTACTACTTCAGCTAAAGAAACAGTTTAACAACTCTGTGGTTTAGCTGCAAAATGACAACAGAGCTGATTTTCTTAGCTCATCAGAAGGTGACTTGTTTTTATGTGATCCTCAAAATCTCATGGTTTAATAATAAATAACTATTATATCCGTACAATTTCACTGAATTAATTTTAGATGAAGTACAAAGAGGGAAAGAAGGGCGTGTCCCACTCTTTGTATTCCACTCTTCCTGAGACTCTAGAGACTTTGCATGCCAAAGAAGCTTCTGAACTGCAGAGCAAGGTAAAAGCATATCTCTACATACGTGTATCCCTCCATCCATCCATCCATCCATCCAGCTGTGTCTCTTACAGCTGGATAATGGTCTGTTTCAGCTGAAGTACAGGGCGTCTCTGAAGAAAGGGCTTTCCTCCAGCCTGTTCCACCTGCTGCCTGAGACCTTCGAGACGACCCACGCTAAAGGAGCCTCTGAGCTGCTCAGCCAGGTAATGGGAACGAGATGAGACATTTTCTGCTTGCTGGCGAGTGAAGCTGGTACTGAAAGTCGGTTTTCTCTTGTCTCAGGTGAAGTATAAAGAGGACAGTAAGAAGGAGATGAGCATCAACCTGTACTCTCTGCTGCCTGAGACCATCGACACCCAACATGCTAAAGAGGTGTCACAGCTGCAGAGTGAGGTACTGAAGCAAGTGTTTGTGATCGTTTTAGTAACAGGACTGTATAGTGGTGACACCTTCCCATGAAGGACAAGCAAGTTTATTATAAGAAATGACTAAATTAGTCTTCTTTGAGACCATATTCACATTTTCTGATGTTAGAAACACCAGAGCAAAGCCAAAAAATCAACTCAAAATATTCAGAATTTTGTTCATAGTAATTTTTCTTTAAAGACATACAGATGTAGAAAGGGTCTGTGAAGCTCGAGAGTGTCTGGGAGCATTGTTCTCCCATGCACACATGCGCACAAATTCAATTTTATAGAGGCAAGTAAATTTTTGTCTCTACAGCCCAGCATCGCAGATCACAACTTTACCTCAAGAAGCTTTACAGCCTTTACACCATACAACACGCTTTTTTCTCAGACTCTCGAATCAGATCAGGAAAAACTCCCCCCAAGAAAACATTTTACAGGAAAAATACGGAAGAGCAACAGAGGAGGGACCCACTGCCAGGACAGTGAGACAGGAAGTAGAACTACAGACTAAATCAATGTAACAGATTTACAGCACAGGCAATCAGAATGACAAAAAAGTATATTCTAAGATACAGCATATGGACAGATATGAGGGACCTGATCGTGTAGGACGAGCCTGTCACCAGGTGCCTCCAACAGGCTCGAGTCACACGACAGACAGACCGATGCTGTTCCAGCAAATTTCAGAAACCATTTATCTATTAAACATCATTCTGCAGAGAATGGTGCTGGGTCGGTCTGTTTTTTTCAGTGATGCTCCTTTCCATCTCCTGGCAGGTGAAGTATAAAGAAGGTCTGAGGCAGAAGACTGAGATCAGCTTGTACCATCAGCTCCCAGAGACCCCAGAGACACAGCTGGCCAAACAGCTGTCTGAGCTGCAGAGCCAGGTACAGGACCACTGTCAGATATTATGTCATTCTGTTCAGGCACAGTGCTGAAGCTCATCTCAGCTCAAGCAGAACAAGTGTTGTCTTGGTTTATGTGAAGACATCAGAAAGTCCCAGAGTGCTCCTGTAGTTTGATTCCATCAACAACAGGTTGGTTAGTTCCATACACAGTGTGGAATGTGACCATGTAAACTTCAATTTGCAGACCAAGTACAAAGAGGCCGGTAAGAAAGAGGTGAACACATGTCTGTACTCCCTGCTGCCTCACACCATGGAGACACAGCACGCCAGAGAAGCTGCAGAGCTGTTCAGTGAGGTAACACCCTGTGTTCCTCTGCTGTGATCTGACAGAAACCTGTTTTACCTGCAGAGTCCAGAGCTGCTTCCTAATGGTCTGATTTCTGAGTACAGGTATGTGCCAAAAAATTAGAATATCAAGGAAAAGTCCATTTATTTCAATAATTTGTTTCAAAAAGTGAAACTTGTATGTTATATTAGTTCACTACACACAAAGTGAAATATTTCAAGCCTTTATTTGTTTCAATTTTGATGATTATGGATTAAAGACAAAAAAACCCAAATCCAGTATTCCACAAAATTAGAATATCATGACAAAGTTCAACATTGTAGGCTCCCTGTGTCCCAATCTAGTCAGCTAATTAATGCAAAACACCTGCAAAGGTTTCCTCAGCCTTGAAATTGTCTCAGTCTGG